CTCTTAGGTGATTCGACTGAGACATGCCGGTTCGGATCGCTGGATCAGAATAGACAACCTCTGATTCGGATTCGTTCCATTTCATGGTCAAACAACCTTGAAATAAACATCAACAAACTCACCCAGCCAAATGTGCACCTCCAATGCACCAACAAGTATGATTGAGCAGGGTATTGTATCATTAAGCTGCCTGCCAATGCGGGCTCGAGCTGGTGGCCGGCGGCATGCCGAAGGCTGTAAATAAAATCAAATAAAGCATGCCCTGCCTCTTCCACTGCGCGAGAAAACTTGTGTGGGAAGTTGGGATGTGCTTGCAAGCACAAGCCCTGGCACGGCAGCAAATGGGAGCTTGTAGCCTTCTGTGATGTGTTGTTCCACAAGCTTTGCGAGTAGCAAATGGAAATGCATCATGTAGCAGGTAGAATCGGCAGGGGCAGGGGCAGTGAAAATTTTGCCAACAAACAAGGTTCAAGCATCACGCTACAATCTTGTCCAGGATTGCTCAGCTCTCCAACACAGGATCTGGATACCGAATAGCAACGTCCGGTCTCCACGTCGTAAGCGGCGATGATGTGGACCTCTGCCACTTCACTGACCTGCGAAAAGAATGGCGAAAAAGCATGCTGCACTGTGCGCCGCAAAACAAGTGAAGGGTTCTTCAAGGAAGATCTCTCCACCCTCGGGCGTGGGGAGTTTCCTTCATTAACCCTGAGATTTTCTATATCCCTGCATGAGTAGCTATTTGTAGGTAGTAGCCTCCTACCAGCCGGTGTTCACGGCCTGCCACACAAAAATAAACACTGTATATAGTATGTCTATATATATATATACATATATCATAACACAATGTATATAATGTGTATATATATAATAAAGCACTATATGAATACATATATATATATACGAATTATTTGTATAATACTTGAGATATCCTCGAGTCAAAGTTAATGCAACATACCTGAACATATTGCCGGCTGAGCTCCCTTTGAACCGGTGGCTTCATGTGAGCCACACCCAAACTTTGGACACCACGGATCCTCAGCTCTTGGACTGCATGGCATGTTGAATACATGCAGCCCGGCTATGCCCACCACACGCGAGCTTGAGGCATGTTTTGAATTGTTTTATATTGCTTTCACCCACTTGCGAATTCGCAAGGCTACTGCTGGGGACAACCCCAGCCCGGATGGCCGGAACACAATGGAAAATTTGAACAATAAGTCAAGAGCAAATGGGGGACCTTGACATCCAAGACTTGTCTGTTTGTGCGAATTGATTTTGCTTGGAATCAACACAATGGGGTTTTGGCTAGGACCTCGGTTGCAGGCGCGAAAGTGAGCCTTGAATTCCCGGAGTCGGAATACGATCTCTGGGTCCTTTTTGGGGGGAAGCTCTGAACCTTTCAAACTCGACTACGTTGGAGATTTTGATACGTTCGAGGTTTTGAAAGTCAAGGCCCATGTGGGTTTCGAGTACGTTGAAGGAGTTGCACGGTAAAGCACTTTCCATGACTTCAAAGCAATTGTTCAAAACCGAGGCAAGACAAAAGGGGCTTTCCTTCGAAGGATGTCGGGACTTTGAATCCCGACGACTTACGTGTATTCACTTGATGAATCACTTCCTTGGAAAGCTTTGGCAGTGGATTCGTTGTTTGGGCGTCAACTCTTCTCAACTCTTTGACATTTCGCTGTTTGACCTAGTTTACCACTTTCAATGTTTTCTAATCTTGATATCGTCTTGACTGTTGGCGGAAAGAACGAATCCAGATCGGCCTATTGTGTTAGCAATGTGAAAGGATGTGAAAGGTAATGAGTTGGCTAGGCCTGCCGGCCTGCCCGTATTTTTGCTCAGATCCGCATGATGACTTATGTTATGTTGTCAGGTGCTTCGGGAAGAATTTGGGAACGCCAATGTACCCGATAGAACGTGTAGTTTTCTCAAAACCCTTTTTGCGGACTGGGTGTTTGTTTTCGAATTATTTCGAATTCCTAGCATTGGGGCACGGTGTGTTTCTGAGCACGCCGCCGCTTCCTCGCTCAAAGCCTTTCTTGCACAGTTTCCCTGTAAGGGGCCACTTCGTGGTTGTTTCCTGTATTAATTTGCCATTTGCGCCAGCTGCTTTGCCAACAGGGTCTTTCTTAGAAAACCGATAACCGGGTGCTTCGCAGACTTCGTATGTGCTGCCAGATGCCTCGTTCGATGTTGTTCCTTCGCTGGGTGGTGTCTCACTTCAGCCAGGCCAACATTGGAATTCATGGGGTCGACGCAAAAAACGTTGCTGAAGTTTTTTGGGGTCTATGCTGGTATACTTGTAGTTATCTTATCACTAACACAACAAACACATATTATATGTATATATTATATATATAAAGAGTAAGCAGGACCTTTTCTCTTATTCGCTCTGCAGCAAGATTG